TAGATCATGCAAATTCCAGCAATCAACCAATCAGAATCACATACCAACATCTCTATTGTCATATATGACTCATATGTTTATCTACGAGTGATCAAGTCATAAATAAAACTAATCATAAATATCAGATTGATTGCATAATTCAAGGCAAGAATGTAATTCATAAGAAATAAACAAACATCAACTAAGAACCTATTGGTTCTATATCTTCCTAACTACTAAAAGTAATTTAGCTTGACATAATTAAAAAGGCAGAATTAAAATAAACAATAAAAGAAACTGAGTTCATGATAAACTTGTTTAAAAGTGACGATCAATGATGCAGAAGTGCTTCCTTCCTTCTTCTCTCCAATGATCCAATGTTCTCTTCCGCTCCTTCTTTTCACTTCGTCTCGGTCTTTGACTTCTCCTTCGCGTTGCGGAATTTATTTCACGACTTTCGTCGCGTTGTATTTAAAGAAATAAAATGTGGGCTTCAATTTCTGGACCTGCTTGCTAAAGAGCTCACTAAAGCGAGCTCCTTAGCAAGCAATTTTTTTGCTTGTCGCCTACTCACTCGCTTAAGCGAGGAGTGTGGCGAGCTTCAATATTTTAGTGAGCGTTACACATTTCTTTTTTGCTTGTCGCCTACTCACTCGCTTGAGCGAGGAGTATGGCGAGCTTCAATATTTTGCTCGCTCACTTATTCGCTTGAGCGAGCAGTGTAGCGAGCGTTATATTTTTTCATCTATTATTTATTTAATTTCTGATTTTCTTCATGATGCGTGAATTCTACTGTTGCCTCGTCCTTATCATATTGGTACTTTGTTATTCTAGTCTAAACAACCTGAAACAACAACAAATATTTAGAATCTTATCCATTTGTTGGCAATTCATTCTGTTTTATTGTTTTATTATTTTAACACTATATTTTTAACTATTTTAATAATTATTTGAACTCTTTTTAACCGTAAAAAGATAGTGTGTTGGACACTTATCATCTATACATATCATATTGAACTGAACTATCAAATGTTTATAGATTAATTGATTTTATGTTAAATATCTAAAAATTTATTATATATAGTCAAATAATATCTAATAATAAGAAGTAAAAATTTCAAGTCATGCAGTATATAGGATTGGCATAGTAGATGAGGTCAGATTTATTTTTGTTATTGTGACTGATACGTCTTCTGAGTGTGTAACTCAAACTGTGCATCTTTGTTAATTTACGCTTGTCTTTTTATTCTCAATCCAATTATTTTTTCTCTTAATGTATTTGTTGTCTCGATGGGCTAAAAGTTCTAGATTTATCATGCAACTTTACAATGTAAGCTTTTTAAAATGTGTGCTTTTAGCATATGCGTCAAACAATATTGAATTATGTTATATAATTCAAACATTCCAAAGAAGTAAATCCTTGCAATCCTAGAAAACAGAGGATTAATTTCAAGAAAATATGGCAACAAATTATAAATGAAAATATTGTATTCTTTATGAGAGAATAGAATTTGTGAATAGTACAAATTCTTATGATTCAGCACCAACCGATTCAGGCAAAGGGAAGTCACGCAAAAGACAATCATTCCAAACAATGTTACTCCTCTCCAAAATCTGGATTTTGTTTTTGTTGAACTTTGGCTGTTCTAGAATGTAATTTGTCATATCATCGTGGCAGCGTTTTCCAACATCCATCAAAAGTTTGACACAACAATCATCACAAACTGTTTGATTACCAAAAAATATAGCAAAGAACACATCATCCCCACAGTCTGGGTTTAACTTCATTCCACATTCGTTTAAATGCTTTTCATATGATGACAATGGCCCTGGTGCATAATTAGTTTCAATGGATGGACCCATTGATGGTTGAGGTACATTGTAGGAATGTCCTGTTTCTAACATCAAAACAGCACTAATCATAAATAACACCATTAGACACAAGTTGTTGAATGTAGACATAGTTCGATGATCTTGATTATTGTTGGTAACTAGGAAGCTTTGATGGTGGCTTTGGAATGGTTAGTAAAGATATATTTATAGTTTAAAAATAGTCTTAACGTTCGCATGAATTGGTTTTCATTATCTCTAACGGATAAATAAAGAAACTAAATTAATTAATCTTTATAAACTGATAAAACTTACGTCCATCCTATTCTTTTGGCATACGGATTACAAATCGGATGTTTTAAATATAACATCAGTTATCCTTAAAATAAATCTAGCTGCAGTTATAGGAGAAATATTAAAGCATTTGACAGGTAATTGAGTACAGAGTTATTATATAACAATGGCAGTGTGAGTGCAATAGTTGCAATTCTTATTAAGTTCAACCCTTCAAAAAGACAGAATAAAATGTGAGGTTCAAACCAGTGTATTCAAAGCATATTTTTAAGACAATGTACTACTTCAACTAAGGTGGCGGTTTCCAGCATAAATCTAGGAGGGAAAAAAGTGGTCTTGGAGGGGAAAGCGCAGAGGCTCTCAACAAATGTTGGTGGTGTCCGATTTACGAAATTTGGGAAATTCTTTTTCCTTGTTCCTCTGAGGGCCTGTTTGGTGTGATGTATAAGGCCTGATAGTATAAGCTTATACTATACGTTATGACATTTTCAGTTGTTTGGTGTGACCATCGTATAATATAAGCTTATACAGCAGGACCCCTTTATACATCAAAATGATGTATAACTTAATCCGGCCTAGGAGTGGTGGATTAGGCCTGATAAAGGGTTGATGTATTAATATTGCTTACAAGTACAATTCTCAAGAACTAATATATCATTTTAATATTTATATATTAAAATATTTTTTTTAATATATTAATTTTTAAAATATTGGAGGATATTATCTTTATACAATATCATACCAAACGCTGGATAGTATTAAAATTTAATCAGGTCTTATACAATCAGGTCTTATACTATCAGACCTTATACTATCCGGCCTTATACTATACTATGCACCAAACATGCCCTAAAACTCTTTGACCAATTTATTCTTGTTCCTTCTTCTTTTTTTCTTTTTTTGGAAAATATATTCCTTGTTCTTTTGAATCTTTTTGTTTCCTATGTGTTTGGAGAGCTAAAGAAGTGGGAAATTCAGGGCGCACACGAACCTGATGGTCCAATCCAAACTAGTTATCCAGTCTTGGTCCAATTGGTTTGGTTCTTTTTTTTTTAATTTTTCTTTTTTACAACTAATCCGACCCAACCCAAAAGGGTTATTAGTTTAGATGATTTATTTTTGGGTTTTATAAGAGTTATGTTGTAGGAAAAATGATTGTGTAATGTTATAGAGATTCGTTTTGCGTGCCTTAATTTTTTATTTATTTTTTTATTTTAAAAAGTGTGGGCCCCACAAAATGTTGTGAGAGTAGGAAAGTTTGTTGTGTTATGTTAAAGGATAAAAGTAAAACCCTTTATTTTTCCCCCTAAATCTAACCTGTAGTTCCCCCTTATTTTAAAGAACTTTAATTAAAGGAAACCAAATCAAAACAAAGCCATTCCAAACGATCACCAAGCATGAAAGTTAGAGGGGAAATAGGGGCACAACAAAATCCTCTTCGGTAAAAATATGAGGGTTGTGAAAAACTCCTTTGATCTCTCACACTAGATAAAAGTAATTCAGGACAACATAAATCTCTAATTTTTTTATTACCCATTTTATCAAATCAGGAGATCATCCACATCACAAACAGAATACAAGATTATAACTCATATCCCCTCATTATTTCAGCCATATTAAGTGCATAACCCAAAAAGTTATCTAGTACCTCAATCACTTTTGATATATTATTCTCTTTGTATTTTCCCTCAATGTATGAAACACAACCTAAATCTTACATCAATAGTTAATATAAAAAGTAGCGGTTTATGGCTCTCGTGTTATAGTAAGAGACCATTTTTTTCTGCACATAGAAGAATCGATGGAGCCCACCTAATATAAAAATAAAAATAAAAATCAAAAATGGGATGCACTGCTTTTTATGGTGAGAGCAGGAGAGAATTTGCGTTTGCTACAACAGGAGAATTTGATTTCCCTAAAAAGTATCTAATCATATGACATTTTAATCTTAACTGAACACTTTTAATTTATATACTGATCTGAATCCATATTAAGTGAGATAAAATGTCTTACTCATTAATAGTTTAAGAGGCCTAATAACAGAAACTTAAAAGAGTGAGGACACACATATCTTCCGCGTATACGTCATTCCGCATACATACAACTATAATAACAACAGTTCAAAGCTCCTAAGTTTCCTCAACAACTAATGGCCGACGGACAAACACATAATTTTAGCTAGGCGCATAGCTCACAAATAGACATCTTGCAAACGAGATAGGCTGCAAAAGCCATTTGAGTCCATCAATAAAATTAGATACTATCATACTAAGTTGGTATAAACAGGTCATCGCTCCAACACCAACACAACTATCTCACGACAAAAATGTCCCATATTTTAATTGAATCGGACTTAATCTATATGATGAGGCCCAACATCTCTTGAACTAATCATATATCAAAGGGGAAAAAAAGCACTATATAAATTTATATTTCTTATATTACATGAGACAAAATACAACAAATAAAAAAATATGTGGGATCTCTTAAAAAGAAAAGAGAAAAAGAAAAAGTGGATGTTATCTATTTTTTATGTATACAGGATAAAATTACCTCATACAACATGAGAAACACATTTCTTATAAATTTATTTAGAGATAAATAATTCTACTTACTTTTCTTCATGCCTACCACTTTTTAACATTGTTAGATCAAAATATGAAGATAAAAGAGAAATTGTAAAGATTAATTGAAATTCTGATATAATGATATTGAAAAATAATAGGCAAAATAGACCGTAAAAAAAAAAGGTAGAATAACATATTTTTTGTTGTAATAATAACGTCAGAAGTTTGTCAATTGTCACTCTACTAAGCCAGGTTCTTCCTGTCTTCCGAAATACTTACGATGAATATAGGATTTAAAAGTTATAACCACGCCACTCCATTATTATCATTTTCAAATTGTTATTCGCGCCAGAATTGCGCACGCCAAACTAAGGGGTAACCATCCATCATGAATTTTGTTGCATTCTCAATTCTCATAACCCTGACCTTAACGCTTTCGTGATTAACGGTGTCCACTGTCCAGTCCCATAAACACTCCCAATTCCAAACCACAGTTTGCATGATAACAACAAACCCACTGCGCCATTATCACAAACACCTCGCGAACCAAGCACTGGTCGCCGTAATCAAAGACCATCCATTCGATGCCCACCCACCACCACATTCTCCCAACCCTCCTTCGTGGACCGCCGACGCAGTCACGGAGGTGCTGCGATCCATCTCCCGATACTCGTTCCAGTCCCCTCGCTCCATGGGTCGCCAGAAAGGCTTCCGCCACCGCGCTCCGCTGCGACAACGCAACCTCAACGAGGAACACCGCAAGCTCCGCGCCAACGCCCTCGTTTTGGGCCCCGCCGCACACAGAGACCCTCGTAAAATCAACCTCGGAGTAAACAAAGCCCTCGAGTTCTACCGTTGGGTCGAAACCCGTTTCGGTTTCGCCCACGTGGAAAGCACGTGCAGGGAGATGGCGTGCGTGCTGGCGAGAGGGAACAGAATGAAGACCCTTTGGGATTTCTTGAAAGTGATGTCCCAGAGAGAAAGGGACAAGCTTGTTACAACAGCGACCGTCACATGTTTGATAAAAGTCCTAGGAGAAGAAGGGCTTGCTAACGAAGCCTTGTTTACATTTTATAGAATGAAGCAGTTCTATTGCAGGCCAGATGTTTATGCATACAACACTTTGATCTATGTACTTTGCAGGGTTGGGAACTTCAACAAGGCTAGGTTTTTGTTTGAGCAGATGGAGTTGCCCGGGTTCCAGTGCCCACCGGATATCTTTACTTACACCATACTGATAAGTTCTTATTGCAGGTATGGTGTCCAAACCGGGTGCCGGAAGGCCACCCGGAGGAGGTTGTATGAAGCCGGCCGTCTTTTCCGGCTTATGCTATTCAAGGGCTTTGTTCCTGATGTTGTGACTTACAATGCTTTGATTGATGGTTGCTGCAAGACCTACCGTGCTCAGAGAGCTTTGGAGTTGTTTGATGATATGAAGAAAAGGGGCTGTGTCCCCAACCGTGTTACTTATGATTCTTTGATTAGGTACTATAGTGCTGTGAATGAGATTGATAAGGCTGTTGCCATGTTGAGGGATATGCAGAGGTTGAATCATGGAATACCAAGTTCTAGTTCGTATACTCCTATCATTCATGCCCTTTGTGAAGCCGGAAGAGTTGTTGATGCTTGGAGTTTTCTTGTTGAGTTGGTTGATGGAGGGTCGGTACCTAGAGAATATACTTATAGATTGGTTTGTGATGGGCTTCGAGCCTTAGGACAGGATAGCTTGTTGGATGATGAAGTGCACAAGAGAATAAAAGATGGCATATGGAAGAGATATAGGCTAACAATGAAATTCAAACCAATTATGGCTCGCAAGGGGTATCCCGAGTTGGAGCAAGTTTGAGTTTCTTTCATTAAAAATAACTGTTTATGTTCGACAAATCAAGATTGCTGGTAAGATACAATATTTTGTATTGGCTTCCCAACTCATTGTTTCATAATACAATCGAAGTAAGTAGGTGACTATTTTTGTATCCTTAATTATAAAATCTTCATTTTGCATGGATTTCCCATATTTATAGTGCTCAATCCTCAGTATACGTTACAACTTCAATTATCGTTTGCCCATCATTCTCTCTTTTTGGCCATGTTTTTCATGTTCAGCATTAATTCACTGGTTCTATATTGCATTCCTTGTGACAGGTGTGGTGATATGAGTAGACTTCTTAATGACTACCGATCTATTTTATCGAATAAATCTTTGGTGCTACTGTTACACCTAGAATCAGTGCATCTCACCAATAGGAGTATTACACATCAGAGGAGAGAAAAAAAATTTGACAGAGAAAAAAAACTTTGGCTGACATGTAATATTTTTATTGGTAGGATGTACTGAATCTTTGATGCAACAGTAGCACCAAAAATTTATTCCTATTTTACCGTCATTAAGGATATATAATAAACCCCATCATTCTTCAAGCTAATATATTATAAGAAATGCTATCATAGTAAATGTAGGCAATAAACAATAAACGCATTATATATTTGGTCTATGTAATTATCTTTTATTTTAAATTTACTTCTTAAACATAGTTTCTAATTTAGTTTTTATTTGGTCTATATAATTTTTAATTTAGTAAATATTTGGTGTCTATATTTGTTTTTAATTTTATCCCTATACTAATGTCATGAACAATGACATAAAAAAAAGTGGCGCTAACTTAGCATCCATTTGCAATGTAGCTCACCGCCAATTTCCCCCCACCCTTATTCATACATCTAATATATTAAATTTCCCTTTAATTCAAGAAGAATAACGGCTTGTTGCCGTGTTCGTTGAGGATTATCTCTTCGTGCCTCAAGACTGTTTGCCAATGCCACCACCATCGCTTTCACCGCTCCGTCGGTGCCTCCATCACCACTTCCATTTCCTCTGCTTTCGAGGATCACAAAGATCAGGTTCCACTTCAATTCCCTTGTACTATACGCAATAAATTTGTACCTCTCTCTCAATTTGCTATGTCATGTGAGTCTACTTCGTTCTTCTATCATAGTGAATAAATAACCTTGAACCCGTAAAATATTGCAGCTTCTATGCATAGATTCCCCATTTCTCTCAGTGTTAGTTACACAGTACAAACATTGTGAGTTATACGATTCAAAACAGGGCAGTTATACGATTCAAAACAGGGGAGTGAGCACTTTGCTTTTATTAGATATATCTGACATGCAAGCAAACCAATGAATAAGATTTGCTGTAAGAATAACATCTCCTTATATGTATATATGTGTGCGCGCGTGTGGTAAGATCAACTTTTATATATATATATATATATATATATATATATATATAAAAGTTTATCTTACCACGCGCGCGCGCATATATATATATATATACATGTGTGTGTAGTGAGCACTTTTTTTTTTTTTTTTTTTTGTAAATTGTGTAGTGAGCACTTTACTTTTAATAGATATGTGAGATTCAAGCAAATCAATAAATAAGATTTGCCGTAAGAATAACATTTTGGTGTAAGAATAACATGCCATTATATATATATACATATATATATACAGAAAACTATTTCTGTAATTACTGTAGATAAATTATCTGTATTTACTTTCAAAACGACGTCGTTTTGGTGTTGAAATATTAAAAAATTATAATTATAAATACTATTATAACTTTGAAATAAATTAAAATTACAAAAATACCTTGATTTTTGCCTCAAAACAACGTCGTTTTGGGCTCAATATAGATAACTTATCTGCATTAACGGCAGAACAATGAACCAATATATATATATGTGTGTGTGTGTGTGTGTGTTTTAAAATCAACCGGTATAAAAATAATAAGTCTTATTCCAAATCTTAATCGTTGATTTTCATGCATCTAATGATTCAAAATTATTGGAAATTAATAATTAATTAATGAGTGAGACTTAATAAATCTCAACCGTTATATACACAAAAATCAACGGTTAAGATTTGATATAAGACTAGTGATTCTTACCAACGGTTAAGATTTAGATCTTCTTATGTCAAAAAGTGGTCATAATATTTGATTACAACCACTCATTTAAAAATCACATTTTTTCTCTCTTATCTCATCATTAATGAGTGATTATATATATATATATATATATATATATATATATATATATATATATATATATATCTATGTGTGTGAAAAATATTTCTATTTTTGCTACATAAGTTTTTTTCAGCCATACTCATATTATAAAGAGAAATAATAAAATATTAGTGAAACTCACTCAATTTTATGTGTGACAGAAACAAATTATGCAATAAAAACAAAAATATTAAACCCTATATATATATATATATATATATATATATATATATATATATATATATATTTCTTTCATCATTAGAGATAACTTTTCTCCAATATCTATAGTAATCTCAAAATAACATCATTTTAAAATTGAGAAAGATATATTTTTATAATTTTAATTTATTTCGACACTATATTTAATCTTTATTATTAAAAACAAATTCTCTTGATCTCAAATCGACATGGTTTTAAGATCACTTTATCTCCAGGGGGCGTTTGGTATGCGGGATTCTTCAAGAATCCCGAGAAAATAAATTTTTCTAAATTTTAAATTTTCGGATATTATCATGAACTGAATGTAAAAATTATATTTTTGAAAATTGAAATTCTCAGCTAAAAAAATTTCTCCTGTACCAAATGCCCCCTAAGAAACGTTAAACACGAGATTGCATAGCAGATAAAAGTCATCATGGCCTGATCATGATTCTTCCAAGTTAATTGTTTGTGTACACAAACTAAACAAGATCTGTTTCCTTTGATGACAATAAACTTCTGATGTTCTCTAAAGTGCAGCACTATAGGAAAGAAACAAGAACTGTCGAACATCAAATGCTAATTATTTCCTTTAAGCAACACTTCTATAATCAACTGCAACCAATTACCCTAAAATCTAAACAATTTTCCTGAAACATCAACCTAATTTACTCTTCACTGCTGAACACAATGCCCAAACAAAATTGTACGATGAAGCTCCAAAACTAACATCTACTCCCCCAGTTAACCTAAACCGGAGTTAGTCCCTGATACAGACCTCAACAACGGATGATTGGGAGAAGGCTGCATGTTAGCAGGGGCATTGAACATCGCATTTGAAGGAACTGATTGTGATTGTTGTATCATAGAAAAGGGCAACCTTTGCCCCAAACCAAACATTGAAGGCCGTGGGACAAAGGACATGTGTGGATGAACTGCTTGGCTGTTACCATACCCTGAGATGCTAGGCTGTGAGGAAGAAGCAGGCATCATTTGTTGCCTATTACTGCTATTATTGTTAACCATGGAAGGACCAACACCTGCTACATTCATTGGAGGAGTGGCTCCACCAGTTCCAAGACGTGCTGATATAACACGGGACCGTTCAGCGGCAAACCTCTCTCTCACCTTCTCAACTTGTTCACATTCTTTCATCAACAATGTGTCAATTTCTGTGAACTGCCTCAGCTTCAAGTCCAATCTTTTCAACTGTCGAAAACAGCAAGCCACCATCTCATTATCAACAACATTGACAATACCTTTATCCCAGACTATTTGCAGTCGGTAGCAATTGAAACAGTAATAAAAAGTACAAAAAGCTTATGGGAAAAAGAGAGAGGATAATATATATATGTGTGTGTGTGTGGAGCAGGATATTGTAACAAGCAATTAGTATTACTACCAATCATTTTCACCGTTAGATCGATTATGTTGATCCAATGGTTATATTTATTTTCATCTTTTTATGGTTATGATTTCCTATAAAAAATCATAACCATACAAAAGTGTAAATAAATATAAAGTATTAAATATAGGGAATCATAATCATACAAATATAAAAATAAATATGACCGTTGGATCAACATAATCGATCTAACGGTGAAATTGATTGACAGTAACACTAATTGGTTGTTACAATATCCTTCCCTTATATATAAATATATATATATATATATGACACTAGAAATTAAAAAAGCAATAAATAATTAAAAAATAAAATAAAATAAAGTGAAAATAAAGATAAAAATACATAAAGCGAAATACTAGGTATAGCAACTGGAGTTAAGAAATAAAAAGGAAGGAGCTATACCTGATTATTAACAATATTAGCACATAGCCTCTGAATTTCTCGTTCTTCATGATCGGCAAACAATTTGGCTTTCATTGCTGCAGCAGAGAGGCCTGCTCTAGCAGCGCGTTTGACTTTCTCCGCAGATAGTGGGGTGGCCCCACCATCATTTTGACCCCGTGAACCAAGCATTTTTGCCTTGTCCTCTGAAATCAAAACAAACATTTCTCTAAAGGATAATTACACACTGGGTCTTATCAGACAATGGGGTACAATTACACATCAGCAACTGAAAAACACAACCACCATAACTCACCATTTGAAATTGCAATTTCTCCATGAGAGCCACCATCTCTACTATGTATGCTTTCTGGATTCGTCCTTCATAGATGGAAATAAAATCTTAATTCTCTGTACAAGATTATTACAGGCCATGAAAGAATAACTTAAGCAGCACAACTAATTCCAAGTTATAAAATTATAGTGATTGATGTTTAATCCAGTATGCAACTGCACTCCTTTCTTTTTTGCTTTTTTCTTCTTTTATTTTTGGCGGGGGTTGGGGGGTTTGGATCTTTATAGGGCAATTGAATTGACCCATGTAGACGATGCCACCAAATACAATAAGGCTGCTGGTTGTTGTTGTTAGGAGCATAAAATTTATTAGGGAAGAGAAAAAGAGTATAATTGTAAAAGACAAGATGTCCTCGTAGGAGTAACAAAAAACCAAAGGAAATAACCTACAAGAAAACACTTCATCTAAGAATATTATCAGTGTTTTGACAGTCGCACTCACCTATTATCATGTTCCAGTGCTTCTATTTGTGACATGCTGCCAGAATTATTCTCTGACAATGCCGCTAATGCAGCATGAGCACAAGCTGCGGCTACTCTTGGTCCAACAGCAGAGGCTAAAAAGGCAACCTTTAGAATGCATCCACCAAACGAAGTGTGTAAGAATCGTAGCAAAAGAACTCCAGAATATAAAAGACAGACTAATTTGCTGTGAAATTCTGACACAGTATGATTATCAATAAGATTTGCCCATTCAAAGTGGAGAAATGCAACTAGAAGAAACAAGTTAAGGACAAGACATCAGATGCAGTACTGATAGCCACATCCTGGTCTTCTTTATAAGCATGTTTCAAGTGCATCCCTTAATAAATGATAAACTTAAGCATATAATTACCAGTCACCTACCAGAGCCATAACTGGATTTCCAGAATTTACAAAAGGAAGCCTGTCATCAGAATCTGTGCTGCCATGTACAGGTCCTGTGAGAACACATATATAAAATCAAAACCATATCGAATGTAGAAGGTTTAAAAGTACTAGTAAGACAGACCTGCAGAATCCCCATTTAAGCAGCGATGCAGTCTTCCACTATCATCTCTATTTATCACATTGGATGACAAAGACATGCTTGAAACATTGATATTTTCTAACTTTCCATCTTCCATGGGTAAACGGAGAAAATGAAGAATGCATTGTGCTTTTGACTTAGTACCTACATGCTCGGCAATGTCATTCCAACTGTCATTGTAAATCTCCATTGCTTCAAGCAGCAGCAAAGTTTCTTGATCAGTCCAACTATCCCCATCTTGATCACCATAATCCATTGTTGAATCCACCCTTATAAAATCTATACTAGAATGACCAGTGATAAATCTACCGTCATGAAAGCAATCAGTGCACAGAAAAATATCAACCTGTAACATAAGACGCTAATTACAAATGCTGGCAAAGGTTTTCAAAGGTATTCTGCAGCCTAGTTTATATAGAGAAGGGTCATCATAATATTCAACAGGCAATGTAAAGAACCACTTCAACCCAAAATCTTAAAGTGTAAAGTAAAGGCGCCTTTTTAATGGTTTTATATTATTCTCTAACACACACCCTCACGTAAGAGCCCTTTGGACTTGAAACGTGGATATTGCATATGCCTACTTTTTTTTTGTTTTACCTTATGCTTATTTAATTCCACAAGTGGGGGGCGGTGAGGATCGAACTCGTGACCTTATGGTCACTGAAGCTCTGATATCATGTAAAGAACCACTTCAACCCAAAACCTTAAAGTGTTAGGTGAAGACCTTTTTAATGGTTTTAAATTATTCTCTAACAGGCAATTGCTTCCTTGCATAGGAATGCCAACTTTTAAAATAATATATTAGCTGTTAAATATATATAAAACCGCTAATGTAACCTTATTCAACTGCTTAAGCCATTGGGTTGAATTGGTTCTTTACACTAGCATTACATGAAAAAGCCCCAACTAGGCTATATTAATCAAGAACCATCTATCTCACAAACTGGCAATCATTTGTCAGCTGTCAGGCTCTACTATGGTTAAGTGGCAGATTGTCCATTCAAGACTGAATTTCAAGGCATGAGTACTTAACAGCAGTGAACAGACAATTGCATAGTTTTAGATTCAAATTTGCAAGGAATTAAAGAGCCATTGACATGTAATAAAAATACATCTAAAAATATATCAGCATGTTCATGTATAGTTGATATGGAAAGATATGTTGATATATGTATTTGAGAAAGAGATTGCAGCCACAACTGGGAGAAACAGAAGAGGAAGAAAATTTGATAATCAACAACTGACAGACTTCTAATCAACCTGATAATCCACGTTCACATGTGATAATCAACAACTGACAGACTTCTATTCCTCTTTTCATCTAGCATGTTATTGATATGACAAAAGCAATTGAAAGCCAGTGTACCTCTTTTTGTGACTGATAGTATATAATTGGAAGAGGACGAGAACAACAATTGCAATGATTTTCAGATAGATGCTCTCTTATTCTGTCATCCAAATCGGAAATATTGCCATTGTGTGTCGTCAGCGATGAATAAATTTCGTTAGCTTTGAATTTACATTTGGGCTTGTCAAATTTGATCAAACTATCTAAGGATTTTAAAGCAGCTGATGGCACACAGATTGCACCACTTGTTTCCTCCTTCAGGCAAATCTCGCTGTCCCAATGCTCGAGGCTTGGCCCCTCAGCACAGTAATTGATAATTCCCCAGTGATCAAGGAACCTGAAAATTTGATTTAAATCTTCATTACCAACACCAACCAACAACCTGTGGCAGTTAGAGACTGCAATCCTCTTCCCTGGGTCCTCCATGTATCTTGCAACTATGTAGTTCCTACACTCCATGTACCTCTCTGGAGTATGTTCTGGTGACTTTCCAGAGAAGAAATGTGGCACTGCTTGTCTCTCAAGTCGATGCACAGTGGCTGGTGAAAACCAATCTGCTAGCAGATATTCCAAATTATCATTTAATTCAAAGTGTGTTTCGATCAACCAAAAGTTCAAGTCTTGAAATCTCAAGACTACTCCACTGCACCCCACCCAACCTCTCCCCAAACAGTAAATCAAAAGCCAGTACATAGCTGGGGCTAACAAATTACATAAACTTTTATCAGGCAAAAAGAAAACATGTAAATGATTTTTAAATTCATCCCAATAGGAAGATGCCAAACAGTTTGATTGAATAAAATATTATACAAAATCAATAGTTCACCTCCAATTTTAAAGAGAAAACAAAATCACCCTAAACACTAGAACTTCACACATGAACTTAAATTAGGGAGAAAAATATAAAGCATATAGAGGAGTCGGGGTCCTATACTCCTATTTAATGTCATCATGTATTGATACACCTTCCAATCAAATAGAGACATTGCCCACACTAGAGAAAACCATTAAATCATTAAGGTTGAAAAAAAAAAAAAAAAAAAACTCGATTATGGCATTCTCACGTCAATTCAAAAACAAATAAAGCAAACCAGAAGCTAAATAGATATAGAAAAAGAGAAAGGAAGGGAAAGAGAGAGAGAAGAAGAAGAAGAACCTGAATGCATAGGGACTACAAGAACCCTACTCCCAAATCGCTTAACGACGCCGGGACCTTCCAAAATCGGCGGCGGAGCGACAATGCAGCTCGAGTTACTGCCATCACCACCGCCCTCCGAATCCAAGGCGAGGCTATCGGCGGGCACCGACGACAAAATCTGAAGCTGCCCGTGAGACACATTCTCCAGAACGGGAACATTCTGCTGCAACTGAACCTTGCAATCGCCAGACTCGTTGGCTCGCTCCAGAGCCACAATCGCCATAACCGACGAGTGGGGGCGGTTCACGGCGCGCTTGATCACCGCCGGGAACTGCGAAATCTGGACTCCGTCGAGGGACAGCGACTCGATCTCGACGGGAGGCTTCGGATTCGCGGATAATTGGTCGTCGGAATCGTCTTCGCGGTCTTCCTCCGCCGCATTGGTTTGGTTATCTTCTTCGTCTTGGTCGTCGTCGAGATGCTTCTGATGGCGCTTACTGATTTGGGATTCCCTCTTTCGCTTCTTCCTCCATTTGGTTCGGTTCTCTGGCAAAAGAGAGAGCAAAAAGCGATAAGAAGATAAAGCATGCAATTGAAATTAAGAAGTAAAGGGTGAAAATTAAAAACAAAAATTGCATAAATTGGAATGGGGTTGACTTGAATTGACATTGTAGAAAGAGAGGGGAAATTTCAAAAAAAAAAAAAAAAAAAAAAGGTGAGAAGTGAGGGGGGTTTTAAAAGAGGGAGAGAGAAGATTTAGGTTAATGAGATACCTGATGGGAAGGAAGGGGAAGGTGGCATGGGAAGAAGGAGAGAAGTTTAAGGGAGGGGAGGGAGAGAGAGAGAGAGAGAAAGTGTGGGTGCGAAAAATTTTGAATGTGGGGTCGTTGATTTGGCGCAAAGGGTGTGATGGATTTAGGAGAAGAAATTTTGAAGATGGTTCTTTAGGTCAGTCCTGTCCCCTTTGTCTGTGTGATTGAATCAAGTAAAGGTAGCTTCGATTTTGGGTGTTTGGTTGGGCCATATGAATATGATACGTGGTAGAAAACCCGAAAATGTGTAATAGCATTGTTATTAAATCCGCGTCGGTTATATTGGGATAGACACCGAGTTAATAAATTATTGATTCTATTCGTTGAATAAATGTGTTCACATGTAAAGCATTGTTATTAAACTCGTATTGATTGTGTGAGAAGAGAGGCTGGCTGAATGAATTATTGATTGTATTGGTTGAATAAATGTGTGTTGACATGTAAGGGTATTGTTATTAACCCCACATCAATTATATCGGGACATTGGGTTAATTATTATTGATTGTAATATGTGTTGATATGTGAGAGCATTGTATTAAACTCGCATGGATTATGTCGGGAGATACGCTGGGTTAATGACTTACTGATTGTATCATTTAAATAAACGTGTATTGACATGTAAGAAATTGTTATTAGGGACATGATATACTTGTTACTAATTAAGTTTATCACTTCTTATCAACAAATCTTAATTGTTGATGTTCGTCAATTTGACGATTATAATTTATTGAGAATTAATAATTAATTAATTAATGTCATCCAATAAATTATAACTGTTAGATCGTCAAAAATCAAAGGTTAAAATTTAGTAGAAGAAAATGAGAAACTTATTTGGTGATAAGTGAATCCCTCCTCTTGTTATTAAACTTGCATCGATTATATCTAGACAAATATTGGGGTAATGAATTATTCATTGTATTAGCTGAATAAATGTAAGTTGACATGTCAACATTGTTATTAAACTCATATCGGTTATATTAGGACATTGGGTTAATGAATTATTGATAGTATTAGTCGAATAAATGTGTGTTGACATATAAGAATTGTTATTAAACCTGCATCGATTATATCAGGACACTGAGTTAATGAATTATTGATTGTATTGGTTGAATAAATATGTGTTGATATGTGAAAGCATTGTTATTAAACTCGTATCGGCTATATGGAGACATGGGTTTAATAAATTATTAATTGTATATGTTGAATTGAATTTATACAATGATATACAATAAATACAAAAATAGAAGCAATATGGTAAAGTGCTGTGGTATAGTGGTTAGCTAGAACCACAATCTCTTCCCTTCATCGGTCCAAGTGCGAACATATCGTTACCCAAACTACTGAAAATAAAAAAACTTTGTCAATAAATGTTGATTGTGAAGGTATATCATCAGAAATGCGGAAGCGCATCGTACCGATGTGATGAGGAATGAAGAACGCCTCTTTGATTACCTGAGATGAAGCAGCGAGCGTGACAATTTCTCACGTTCTGTTCTCCTCCTCAAACCTCACGATCTGCAGCAACGCACCACGAACGGTCGCAATTCCGCTCTACGGTTGATCTTCCAGACTATGACTCAAGGAGGATCAGGTGGTCGTGTGGGCAACCGTTCAGATGATGAACGTCTGCCTCTTTGTGTTTCTGATGTCTGTAACCCTCGGAGGCAAAAGGGAGAAAAGTGTGCTTATATACCTGCCCAATCCAAAACTAACCCTTAGCTTCATGGGTTAGAATTAGTCTTTGGGCTCACTCTCACTAAAGCTATTGGGCTTAAGTGAAAAGAGCATACTTAAACCCAACAATCTCCCACTTGCTCTTTTGGACACAAACTTGAGTTCATAAACCCAAGACTATGTAGCCCATAAGCCATCATCATCTAATTATACAACTCGTCCCTTGTCTCAAGCTAGCCTGGGGATCTACCATCTGTTATTAATCAAGGCTCCTGATAATCAACGAATGATTATCTAATTCGGTGCTACTCCACTAAAAGCCCGAACTTGAACTCCAAGATTAACAACACTTATAACATGAATATGCATCGCCCCTTTGTAGAATGTCTATAATTGATTGACAAGTTTTCTGTAACTCAATCAATTATTTATTCCCTTGACTATGATAGTTTCTCTAATGGATTACATGCACCGGCCAGTGTCTTTAATATCCAAGTACCGAAACATATCAAGGGGACATATCCTACAAATTTCATGTTGTTTATCTCATAAATACCGATAATCAAATAATCTCACTCCCAAAATACCGAGTTATTGGCCGTCAATAAATCGAACCTCACCCGTTGGTAAATCAAAGAATGAAAACTATTTGATTACCTATTTATAATAAACTCAGGATTAAGAGCAATCACATAACTATAGTTAATTGGAGATTTGATACCTTATGACAGAAAAACAACCTTAATCAAATCTCTCCTTGATCCTTTCAATGTGAATGTTAATTCACACCAATATTTTACAATGATTCGGACAAAATCATTTCATAAAATATTGCAGCCTGAATAAAGTGCCCAACTTTATTTAACGGCTGTGACTCCATTCATCAATTGTGAGAACCTATGATCATGTCCTCCATGAACGTATCCATATGATCATATACTCCACAATTTGATCTGGACCTTTATGTTTGTAAATAGTGCGCAAAATAAATAAATAAAACCTTATTTATGAAATTCAGAAAATTATTTTATTGTTTCATCGTCTTACTCTAAGAGCGCAATGAAACCAATAACTCCCACTTGCTTAATGTAAGTCTGGGATCCTCCTAAGACCCAAAGAAGTAACATGCCTCTCGAACACAAATTGAGGCAAACTCTTAGTAACTGGGTCTGCAAGATCCACCTCTAATGCTATCTGAGTTTAGTGAAAAACTCATAGCTCGAGGTTGATTTTCTTGAGTCAATATCCACTTGAAATAACTGAATTTTTGAAAACTCAGTTTTTCAAGACACCCACTAGAATATACCAGCATATAATCTCTCGTTCTCCAAAGATACTTGAGTACATGCTTAACAATAATTTAGTATTCCTCTAGGTTCAAAATAGTACTATCTCACTACTCTCACTGCGTGACAGATGTCTGGTTTAACGCCCAATATGATATGCATGAGTCTACCTTTGCCAAAGCATAAGATATCTTGCTCATGCATTCTTCCTTCTTAGAAGTCTTTGGTCACTCCTTAGGAAGATGAATTCCACATCTGAGAATTATAATTCTTCTCTTAGAATTCTCATGTTGAATTTTGGCAAGAGTTTTGTCAATGTAAGTAGCCTGAGGTGATGCCAACAACTTCTTCTTCCGGCCTCATAAGAGTTTTATACCAAGAATATAATTGGTTTCCCCAGTACTTCCATACCAAAACACTAACTTAGCCAACTCTTTATGCTTGATATTACCTCCACATTGTTTCTAATAAGGAGCATATCATCTACATAAAGTCCCAAAAAAGCTATTGTCATCCGTTGTATCCTTTACAAACAAATACACATCATTCATCAAGGTTCTCTCAAAATCAAAATTTTGATAACCTGATCAAAACTGATGTTTCAAGACTTGGATGCTTGCTTAAGTCTATGAAATAGACTTTCACAACTTGCATACCGTGTGTTCCTACTCATTTGCTATAAACCCTTTTGGTTGTTGTATGTAGATATCCTGACATCCAACTCCCAAAATGAAATCTCATAACTGAGACTTATAGCAACCAAGAGAATCTGGATAGACTCAAGCATGGTGTCTGGCAAAAAATGCCTCCAGGCTAGCTTTGAAGGTTTTCACCTTCCTGTCCATCCTCTCTTTGCCTTTTATGTCCACATGCACCTTGTGGGTTTTACCCCTTTTGGTGTTTTCACTAGGACCGAACGGAGTTGAAATACAAGTATTTCATCTCATTGTTCATAGCTTGAGCAACACTTGATCAACAACATCTTCTAGTGCATTATCGTAACTAGTAGGATCAATGTCACTCAACAAGAGACAAATTGAGAGTTAACAAGGTTCTCTCCCACTACGAATGTACTGCACTAGACCTTGTGTATTTATAGGTAAAACAAATAGTGGGTCAAATGATGGATCTTCAATTTCTTGAGGATCCGCTTATCCTTGATATTGTTCCTTTACATGTGATACTAATATTTCAACTAGTTTCACTTATATATTATCATGTTGAATTTCCAATCATGGTTCTCTTGTTTGTTCACTTAGAGATATATCTATCCCCTCTTGAACAATCAAGGGAACAATGGATGAAGCTTCTAGAGATTCTGGAAATTCTTGATCTGAGATAAATCTCATCAAGAATAACCTAACTTAAGAGCTTATGATTTCTTATATAGTCCTCCTTTAAGAAAATCATGTGAGTGCTCACTTAGATTATCTTGTCCTTAAGACTAAATAAGAAATCATCCCTAGTTCTCTTAGGGTAGCCAAAAGATATGCACTCTTCCATACAAGATTCCATCTCATTTGACTGCTGTTGTAGGACATGTGCCGTAGGACCCTAAATCTGAATATGGTTTGATCTGGGCTTGCACCCTTTCCATAATTCTTTAGGTGTCTTTACAACAAACTTTGACGGAATCAAGTTAAGAAGGTACATTTCCTTCTCTTAGGCATCTCCCTTGAACAACATTGACAAAGATGAATAACTGAACATGATCTTCACCAAGTCTAGAAATGTTTGATTTTCGCATACTGCGACTTCATTCAACTAACGCGTTCTTAGAGTTGACAGTTACAAAAACTATCCCCTCTTAAATCAGGTAAGACCTGAACTTACCAGACAGGTAGCCAACACTTTAGTCATACCAAAGTGTTTTTGATTTGAACACCTACATGCTTTTCTGCCTCAGACTAAACCTCTTGGAATTTCCAAAAGCTTTAAACTTATGGCGCACTTGGTTCATCTGACCAAATCCAGAGTAAACATTCATATAATGAAGTACTCATCACCTCTTTTGGTCTGAACGCTAATTAGTCCACATACATTAGTATGTACCAGTTTTAGTTGAATAGTTGCGCAAACCTTTTTGGCCCTTGTAGGATTGCTAGGCCACTTTACCTTCCAAATAGGAC